AGTTGAAGTCCACCCATCTTCAAGTCGCCAAGGTTGAGAAACACTGGTCTAGGGGCCTACAGGCTGGTATTTTTAATCCAATATATCTGAAGGGACCAGGCTGGAAAAGTCTGTTTTCTCACTTTTATCTGACTGGATGAATTTAGTTGGGGGATGCACAACAGGAGGCGCATGGAAGCACATGCCTGGTTTGGTGGCAGTGTGGGGAAGGCTGTGCTGGGTGATGCACTGCCCTCTGCTGTCCGTTCTTTATAACAAGGGTGGATTGTTCTTGCTTGATCATCTTTCTATCAATCCAGGATTTTTTGCGTTCGCCCGGTGACGCCTGTAAAAACGAGGGTTTCATCCCACAATCCTGGCCTTCCCCTTGGATTTTGTAAAAACCCTTCCAGACACCCCTGCTCATAATCACACAGTGCATCATGAACTACCCAACAGGGCTGGGTTTGTACGACACATTAAGCCGTCGATAAACCAATCTAAGCTTTTCACTTAGCTAAACGGAATCCTGGTTTGTAGGACGTCTGACTTTTCCAAAAACACCCTGGCATGGAAGCAACAAGCATGCATCTTGTGCCAAAAGGGGGTCTTAGGGTCTCCCCGGCAGTTGTGTAACCACCCCTGACTTATATTCTATTTCCAAAAGTATGATGGGGGCAAAATTGTGCAGCACGGAGAGAGAAGGTAGGACTATTTTTTTCCTGCTACCTTCCTTCAATGGCTCCTAACTTCTAATGGTGGAAAAAACTGTGACCTTGAATAGAGCACCCTGAAGATGCAAGGACTTTAGGGCCACATTCTCCAAGCTGTGCCCACCATTTGGTTAACTTTTAGCTCCCATAATCCCCAGCCACATTGGCCAACAGAGGCAATGGGCACCATCTTGGGGAAAGAAAGGGACTGGGGCCAACATCTGTAGCATGATCGCTTTCCAAAATCTGTGGACTGATATTACTTTGCGCGAATGTCCTGTTCTGTACAGCACTTTGCACACTGTTGTGTTAATAAATGTTACCCTCGAAGTGTGGTGCTACCTTCTCTGGGTTCCCTATTTTTTTAATCCATCGGAGTTGACCGTGAAAAGCAGCTCCAGGGGTTGGGGATGGCAAGCTTTGGGCGCCCAGAAAAATCTACACCCTTTGCAGCTTTGGGGGCCACGAATTGACTGCGGTCCCCTCTGAATGGGCAGTTCAGTTTTCTCTGTTCCTGTCACAGAGAAGCCCCCAAAGGAGTTTGCAGAGGGAGGTCAAAAAGATCCAGGTGGCATCTGCAATCGTGGGTAGCATCTGGACATTCTGAACCCTCCCGTCTCCTATAGGTGACCCCGACCTACAGTCAGAAACTTTCTTACTGACTTCTGGCCACAGGTTGATTCACACTTTTCATGCTTCTGACACCCCGGCATGCATTTATAACGTTGCTGCAGCAAAGATCGCTTGTCTTTTGCCCAGACGCAGCTGATCTGTAGAAGAGGCGCACCGGGGAGTGAGGCGAAGGCTGGTCTCGGATTCCCAGGGAACGCGTGGCTCCCCTTCTAGCCGATTCCTTCCCCCAGTGGGGATGCGGGCCGAGTATCTTACGGGCTGAGCTCCCGCAACGTCTGGCTGGAGAGGCAGCCTGCCATAACTCAAGGTCCCATGTGGGGACAGAGGCTCACCTGTTTGCTAGAAAAAGCAGGCACCCCATTGCTAATCCTCCAGCCTCAAAAATATCCTTACTTGGCATTTTCTTTTCTGCCCCACAGGTGATAGAGCTCTTAAGCTACACTCTTACACAGAGGAGGCACATTTATAGGTTCAAACGTTTACTCAACAAACCATGGTTCAATGTACCCTAGTATAACATGTTGGTCTTCTTTCTGGCCTAGTTCAGCATGAGAGCCCTTTACAGCTCTGGGTCAGCAATGACGGCTTGTAACAAGCTATGGCTACTTGCAATGCTCAGTGCCAGAATATCACCCCCAACTTGCCCCGGTGACTTTTTTGAGCTTAAATGGGATGTGGGGTAAAAACAGAGATGGGCCTAGAGATCAAAATACTAAAAAAGTGGGATGCGCAGAGCCTGGGGAAAAGATGATTTGTTACTGATGAAGAAACAGATGCGGTTTTCTTTAGTCTGGAGAGCAGAATCCAAAATAAAGGGTCTGAAATTTAGGAAAACGCTAAGCCCTAAACCATATTCTCTGTTGAAAAGGAGAAAAAGAGAAAAACCAACAGGTTAAAAACCTGAAGTTCAAGAAAAGGTGGCTTTGGCTGAATATTAGGAGCAATTTCCTGACTCTAAGATTCCAAACAGAGGCTTCCTGGCTGCCAATCAACAATAGTTTAGCCAATTCCTACAGCAAGCATTGGGTTGGACTAAATGACCTCTAGTGCCCCTTCCCACTCACGCATTCTGTGATTTTTACCATTTATGGACCGCAATGGCTGGTTTTTACACGTTAAACCATAAACCAAACCAACCATATGTTGGCTTAGTCTCTGGAACCCAATTCCAACACTGGCTTCTGGGCTGTGCCAGATGTGGCCTTGGGTTCTGTGGTCCTCATTAAACAAAGTTGCTTCTGAGACAAAGATGGTGAAATGCACTGACCTGGAACACCGAGGAGATGGGAACAGCTGACAGTGTGACCTGGGGCCTTTTCCAAGCATTTCCTCCTTTGCACAGGACCTCGAAGCAGGCCTGAATGAAATTAAAAAAGGATCAAAGGTGGAAGGAGCATGTTCCAGTTGCACGCTTGCTCCAGATGATTTTTCTGCACAGGTGAAAGACAAAAAGATAATCAAATGATGGGTACGCATGTTTGCAAAACATGCAAGACATGCATTTGAAACATTCATGCTCATCTTCATGTCCCAGATTGGTTGAGACACACTGGTTTAGGGAATGCTTGATCCTGCCCATGATCCTTTGCTCCCCACAA